GCTCACCAGCCGACCGCTCCCGGCTCACCAGCCGACCGCTCCCGGCTCACCAGCCGACCGCTCCGGCTCACCAGCCGACCACTCCCGGCTCACCAGCCGACCGCTCCCGGCTCACCAGCCAACCACTCCCGGCTCACCAGCCGACCACTCCCGGCTCACCAGCCGACCACTCCCGGCTCCCCAGCCGCCCACTCCCGACTTACCAGCCGACCACTCCCGGCTCACCAGCCGACCACTCCCGGCTTACCAGCCGACCACTCCCGGCTTACCAGCCGACCACTCCCGGCTCACCAGCCGACCACTCCCGGCTTACCAGCCGACCACTCCCGGCTCACCAGCCGACCACTCCCGGCTCACCAGCCGACCACTCCCGGCTTACCAGCCGACCACTCCCGGCTCACCAGCCGACCACTCCCGGCTTACCAGCCGACCACTCCCGGCTTACCAGCCGACCACTCCCGGCTTACCAGCCGACCACTCCCGGCTTACCAGCCGACCGCTCCCGGCTCACCAGCCGACCACTCCCGGCTTACCAGCCGACCACTCCCGGCTTACCAGCCGACCACTCCCGGCTCACCAGCCGACCACTCCCGGCTTACCAGCCGACCACTCCCGGCTTACCAGCCGACCGCTCCCGGCTCACCAGCCGACCACTCCCGGCTTACCAGTCGACCGCTCCCGGCTTACCAGCCGACCGCTCCCGGCTCCCCCGCCGACTACTCCCGGCTTACCAGCCGACCGCTCCCGGCTCACCAGCCGACCACTCCCGGCTTACCAGCCGACCGCTCCCGGCTCACCAGCCGACCGCTCCCGGCTCACCAGCGGCCGTACCGGCCGAATCACCCAACCACACTCTACCCCCAGTCATGCTCACTCACCTCCCATGTCCTTCCTCTTCTGCTTCCTGTCCAATCTGGTCCTCAAAAATCCACTGTTTGCTCGATCGTCCACATTTAAACATCATCCCCGGTCTCGTCTGTGAACAGGGGTGTTCACGGGCACCGCACACTGCTGCGTGCGGTGTGTGCGGTGCGTCCAGCAGGCGTGGGGGTAGGGGATGGGTAGGCGGTTCTGACGTCACGGCTGCGGCGGTGGACGGTCCGCTGTGGCTAGTCCCGACCGGCCACAGCGATCGCTGTGTGCGGTGACGGAAGGCTGACGTAGGGACGAAGTGGGCGGAGCTTCGAGGCTGTGTGCGGTCCGACCGCACACAGGGCCCGTGAACAGCCCTCGGCCCTCGGCCTCCCCGACCGTCGCCATCGGACACTGGTGACCCAAAAGACGGGCTGTTTGTCGGACCTCCGTCCCTCGTCTCCGCCGATTGGGGCTAGCCGCCGGCGACGCCCGCGGGACCGTGGACCTGCGTCTTCTCACTGTGGGCAAACAGACTACGTCCGTGCTACAGGGCGCGCTAGCCGCGATACGCGCCTGACTTGTGCGTTTGCGAGGTACTTACATGCATACCTCGCCTCTGCAGGTGCCACAGTAGTACCACATTCGGTCCTCGAACATTAATGAGGTCCAAACTGAGGTCAGCTCCCGTCCTGAACTGAACACAGCAGAAAAAAACGACACCTCAACAGATATCACCCAAGGTCAACCCAGTCAGCGCCTGAGGCATTTCCTTGCGCTCCACACTCGGTCCAGACGCCATTCATGATCTCGGTCCCTCGTGGCGGGCAACGGAAGACGGAAAACAGACCGTTCATGGCCCCTTACCTGTTGTTCTTGACTCCCTTCCCCTTGGGTCACCTGCTGCCGGTCCTCTAGCCTCCAACCTCCTTCGCCGAGTGCGAATCCCCTGCTGTCGATCTCGCCGACTCCCATCTCTTTCACTGATCCACACTCATCGTCTCGCCATAGCTCCCTTGCCTGCGCGTCGCACCCACGAGCAGAAAAAAAAAATCACTGCTGCACGTGTTGCCACGCTCGCTGCCCTCTGTCGACTGGCGCCTGGCATGTCCCTCTCCGCTTCCCTCTCGCCCCTGCCTCCCCGCGGCCATGCGCCGTCCTCCCGCCGTCCCTCCCCCTCCCGTTGTTCCCCCTCTCTCCCCTCACTTCGCCGTGCGTCCCTACCCGATCCGTCAACATACCTTACCGTCTCCGCCGTTAAGGTGGCTACCAAATTTGAGCGCAATCGGCCCAGCCGTTCTCGAGATCTGGGAGCGCCCCCTGCACGTGCGCACGTGCTGTAGCACCCCTACCTTAACACATGCAGATGAATTATCTGATGGAGACCTAACTGTGTACCGAGTTTCAATTGAATCGGCCCAACCCTTGTCCCGTTATTGAGGTTGCAATTTTGGGGGCTCTGAAAAAATGTCCAACTTTACCACGCGCCACGTGCGGTGGTTGGCAAGAACGCATGGTGGCCATCACACCACAGAACTTTTACGTCCAAGTGACATTCAGTAAAGAAGACCGCTTGTCAATCGGATGTCCCGTTCCTAAGATATTAGCTTTTGAAGAGCGTCCCCACGGCCGGCCGGCCGGCCGGCCGCTCATACTCAGGATTTTCCCTTAATTCAGTATGAGACTCCGCTCGCTTCGCTCGCTCCGTAATAAACTTTTTTGAAGGTGGGAGGGTCCCTTTAATAAATGTAGCGTGAATATAGCAGCTGTTAGTGGATATGGTTGGCAGAGCTGCTAATTTGGCACTACATTCATTTGACACATCTCGCGTTCAAAATGTGCAAATCATCATAACCTTTCTGGTTTTCACAGCCACCAACTCGGTGACCAAGCAAAAGTTGACACGAGTTCGACACACGACTTCGTGAGCAAGTGGAAAAAGAAACGATTCGTGGCCACCATACCCTCAGAAAAGCGGCATCGGGCATGCCAATGAAACGGTTCACTAGTCGCGCCACTCACGTCCCGAGAAAGCGGCTTTCAAAATCCGTCTGCTTTCAAAAAGCCTTGGCAGCTCGGGTCACATCCGCCGACCATCATTCCCCATTGGAAGTGAGGTCAAGAACTGAGAAACATTGATGGTAGACCAGAATTTGGGACGATTCTCCTCGTCTCCGACCGGAAGGGCCACATAAACTAATGACACATTTCCAGCCAGACGCCGACACCACCGGGACTTGAGGTCATGACCGCGCAAATTGAACTCAATTAGCGCGGAAATTGGATCAAATGGCAGCACCCGGTGCTAAATTGTATCACACAGGGGCATCAGTCGTCCCGATAAGCCTGAGCTAACCGCGTGACTCAGAATTCATCTGAAATCAGCGACACAGACGACTCTGTGCACCATCCCGGCCGAGTCTTCATATAAACAGACCAAAACGAGCCAGCCGGCGGAGACCCAGACGGGCCCAGTGCCGACCCCAGCCGACCCAGACGGACCCAGTGTCGACCCCAGCCGACCCGCCGGTCTGCAGCGCTCTCCGGCCAGTATCGGCTGACACAACAAACAGCCCTGGGCGCGGTACCGACTGCCGCGGGCCGCCGACACCCGCCCGGCTCCGGTGGCGGCAGAGACCGGTGTCGGCTGTCGACGCAGACCGAGGCGCAGCGACGCGATCACAGTCCCATACTGGAGGGGAGGAGACGGGACGGGGGAGGGGACGGACCCGATGGAAGGCAGGTAAAAACGGCGGACAACCGGCCGTGGAGGCGACTAAAAACAGCCAACAGCGGCGGGAAGGTATCGAACTGGGTCACAGTTAAGGTGGAGGAACCAGACTGAACCGAGTGTGGAGAGTCTCAGACGAGAGCCGAGGATGAAACCAGTGCCGTGCAGACTGCCGCGGATGGTGAGATTACAGGACATGCGAATCCTGGTGGGTAGAAACAGCACGCTGCAGACGGGGCCAGACACGGGTAGCTCCAGCCAAGTGGCCACTTACTCCTGCTCCTCTCTCCGGGATATACAGTAAACAATCGACAGGCCAGAGAATGGGTCTGGAACGTGAAGGTCAATACTTGACGGGGGCGATACCCCCAAACATCGAGACCTGACACCGACCGGGGTCGGGTCGGGGTGGAACTGACCTGCAGTACCGGCGGCTGGCGGCGCGGCGGGGCCGTCCATCTCGGTGTGTCCGGGTGGCCGCACCTCCTCCGGCGCGGGGCGGAGACTGGAGAGAGCCGGCCCGCCGCAGACAGGGCGGGATCAATACCGGACAGACACCAGCGCGGCCCCGCACTGACCGGCCCACCGCGCCGCGGCGCGACCCGCACTGACGCGCCGCGCCGCCGCCGCAAACGAGCCACCCCGACCGGCCGGCCGGCGCGGCGCCACGTGCCACGTGTCCCGCGGCCCGCCGCTGCCGACGGACGCCGCCCGACTGACGACGGCACGTGGGGGAGCGGCCGGCAGGGGCGGGGCAGCGGGGAGGTGTCAGGGGCGGGGCAGCGGGGAGGCGTCAGGAGAGGTGCGGGGCAGTGGGGGACATCAGACAGAGGGGTGGGCGGAGAGAGGCGGGAAAGGCGGTGAGCCAGACCAGAATACCCGTTTGAGCACTGACCTCATCGCGGTCACGGTCGTCGGCCGTGATCGGAGGCCGGTCGGGGGCAGCCGGCGGCGTTCTGCAGTCTGGCAGGGGACCAGCCGGCCAGCCACTCACGGGAACGCCCCGGCTGGCCGCCGGAGCCGGTCTCAGGAGCAGGAGAGGCGCCGGAGCCAGGCCGGTCGGCTGGGAGCACAGGGACGGACCGAGACGATCAGTGGAAGGGAGTGGTCAGTTCGCAGTCGCATTCCAGACCGACAGTGTCCCCACCCCCTAAAAATAAAAAAAAAAACACCTCGGTTCTCGGCACACTGACAAATTAGACACTAAGATTGCAAATTAAATCCTATGGGGATTCCAACGTATGAGAGGCTGAAGGTACCGACAAGTTTAATGTGATGCATTACACCTTTGAGCCAACTGAGCTGAAAATAGCGCATGCATGATCATAGCTGATGAAAAATACAAAAAAAAAACATTTGGTTCACTAGGATACAAGGGAATAAATACCGCATTTTGTGACAGAGTTAAATGACAATGTATTTTCTACTCGAAACAATAACGATGATTTATTACATAGCTAATACGATGAGACTGAGGTGCGTTGAGCAGTGCACACTTCATCAACTCAGTGACGATGCATGATGATCTTCGATGACGATTAAACACCACTGCCCTTTGCATACAACGTGAAACGTGGTGCTCGCATAAGACACTGCCTCACAATAACACATTACGCGAACGTCAATTCAAACCAAAGCCCAACGCACCAGTGCCTACCTTCAACGTTCAGCAGCAGACACCGCACGGCACACCGAATACCGCATACTACACAGCATCGCTCGCGCGCCACCACTGTCCAGAAGACCTCCCCAGTCCCTCTTCCCTCGCCTCGCCCTCCGCTCAGGTGGCCGCGTACTTGACCTCGTCGAAAGCCTTTCTCGCCTTCTTGAGCTCCTCGTTCATGGAGAGCAGGTCGCGCACGCGGGCGTACTTGCGCGGGTCCTTGCGCACGAGGTACATGATGTCCTCGACCTGGACGCGTCCGTTGCGCCCCACCTCCATGGCGCGCTGCGTCATCTGCGTGATGAACTCGATCACCAGGTCCTCCAGCAGGTCGACACTCTCCGTGTACGGGTTCCGGTCGTCGCCGAAGCCGTACATCATGCAGCGCAGCTCCTTGCTGAAGAGTCGCCGGCGCCCGGAGCCGCCGGCCAGCTGACTGGCGTCCTCCTCGTCATCAAACTGGTCCTCATCGGCGGCGGGGGCGGCGGCGGCGGCGGCGGCGGCAGTGGTGGTGGTGGTCGGGGTGGGCGGCGTGGAGGAGGCCATCTGCGACACTGTGGTGAGAGGGAGAGCGGCATCAGATGGGCGAAGGAGTGGGGCAGGGAGAAGGGAGAGAGAGAGAGAGAGAGAGAGAGAGAGAGAGAGAGAGAGAGAAGAGAGAGAGAGAGAGAGAAGAGAGAGAGAGAGAGAGAGAGAGAGAGAGAGAGAGAGAGAGAGAGAGAGAGAGAGAGAGAGAGAGAGAGAGAGAGAAAATGAATGCAATACGCTTAACCCGCGCCGTGCTGGTGGGCTGAGTTTTCCGTGTCGTTCTGGGGGGGGGGGGGGGGGGGGTGCATTTTAACCCTCGCCCGTATACTCGTAGGAAGTCGAACGAGCCCCTCTCTTGTTTTTTTTTTTCGCGAATAACTCGCGTAAAAAAGCGGACGATCGTGACGAGACTTTCAGTACCCTCGCGTTGATCAATTTTACACCTACCCTGAAAATTTTATGACCCTGACCCAAATGACCTTTGACCTTCTTGTTTGGCAGGTATCGCGATTCGGCGTATGTCGGCTCGCATTAGCAGCGCGTTTGCAGTCTTTTCGTGGTTCCAAGCGTTCAAACATGTGATATGATGTTGGTCCCAAGCATTATGGGTGGGTGTCAAGGTCGCCTGAAGGTCAGGTCAGGTCATTGACCTTTGATGACCTCGGTTCACTTTTTCGAGTTTTACATGTTTCCCAAAAGACTCCATTTTTGGGTGTTTGAGATCTGACCTGGAAGGTCAACCAATGACCTAGGACCTTAAAATTGGGTATCATCGGCTTCCTCTCGTCTCGTCACGGGTAACAAGCTGTTTTTTCGCGAAGCTCTACCTCAATTAGGGGCCAAACGGCAAGGGGGGTCCGTTGGACCCCCCCCCCCTATACGTTCGCGGCTGACAAAACACCAATATGGGCGAGGGTTAACGGCAACGCCCCCTTCTAACACGGCTCATAGGCCACGTAGCGACATGCGGCAAGCAAAAATCGAAAGAGCGCAAAAATAATGAAGAAGACGCTTCGGTCATTTTTTAGGTCAGGTCAAAGGTCAAAGGTCATCAAATGTCAAATTTGGCCTTTTTCAATAATTTTCGAAAACCCGGCGCATAACTCAAGAACCGTTTTAACAGTTATTACCAAACATTCTAACCGTTTTTCATAATAATTTCAATAAAATATTTTAACCGTTTTTAACCAAAATAGTACGCAAACAGATTGGTCCATTGACTGACATGTTGCCCCCACCCACCCATCGGGCCAACCCGAGACCGGTCCCAAGCAGCGGGGCCGGTCGGCTGGCCGGCCGGGCGAGGGGCCCGCCTATACGATGGGCTGACCTCCCGCTCGGCCGGCCGACCGCCGCGCCGGGGCGCCGTCCACGCGTGATGAACGCAGTACCAAGGCCCTATATACCGCAGTACGCGGGACGGCGCGGGTGGGGGCGGGCCGCCCGCCTCGAGCGCCGGGGAGGTACCCCACAGCTCTCCCCGGCAGCTCTCCTTGAGCTGAGACAAGCACAAATCAGGAGCTTTTACGGCCCAACGATCGCCCTAGGCAAAGATATTCCATTTCTCTTTGTCTTGTCCCGAAAAAAGGCACCTTGCTGAGGAATGTGTGCCTTGCAGGGGTCATTTCCCTCTTTTAAAACTGAATAGTTCTTCCTATATTAAAATATAGAAAATAATATTTTTAATAAGAGGTTTTACTTTCTCTGCTGATCATTTTTAGCAGAAAAAAAAATTATAAATTCATTGCAAAAAACTAATTTCATGAAAGTGAGCAATTGCCTTTAAAAGAATCAATCTTGAGGGTGTCCTGCTGGCAGACTTCAAAAGGTACAGGTCTAGCGGGTTTTAGCGGAAGGTTTGGCACCTATAAAATTTAGTGTTCTCCAGGCTATATCTTCGTAGTCTTAGCTTTAAAGTGTTGAAGATGCGGGCTTATTGGCCCGCACATATTTATATTACCTAACAGGTATACTGATACCTATACCTATACCTATAAGACACTTATACTTATACTTATACTTATAAAATGCGGAATTTAGGAAGGCCTTTTGGCCTCTTGGATCCGGACGTGACGAGCTTTGTGTCAGTGTGTCACTGCATCAGTCGTTGGAATGTATGGTGTACTTGGCGTGAGCCCAGTGTTCGTCAAGCCTGGCCTTGAAGCTATTGACTGAGGGCGCATCGACGACAGCGGATGGCAGAGAGTTCCAGTCGTTCAGGACTCGTATGCTGAAGGCGTTCCGCCGCACTCTGGAGACAGCTCTTGGCTTGGACAGCTTCCACTCATGCCCTCGAGTTCTGGTCGTCGTCGCCGCAGTGAAGAACTGAGATGGGTCAACATCCACTCCCCGTCGAAGCACCTGGTAAACCGAGATCATGTCGCCTCGTCGGCGCCGATAGTAGAGCGATGGCAAATTCAGGCTCCGGAGTCTCTCCTCGTATGGCAGGTGGCGGATGCTGGCAACCAGTCTCGTGGCCCGTCGCTGTACCCGTTCAATGCGCTTCTGGTCTTCTCGGTTGAAGGGTCCCCAGACCGCGTTGGCGTATTCGAGATGGGGGCGAACCATGGTCCGGAAGAGTGTTGGAAGCGTAGTCTCATCAATTATCCCGAAGGATCGACGAATGACTGTCAGAATGTGTGACGCTTTGGCCACGACTGCGGTAGCCTGTTCCCGGAACTTGAGCTGGTTGTCTATCTTGACCCCCAGGTCCTTTTCCACCAACGTCTGATCTAACAGAGTGTCTCCCATACGGTACAGGTGATTGGCGTTTCGAGGACCTAGGTGAAGAGACTTGCACTTCGACTGATTAAAAGGAAGTTGCCATTTCTCAGACCATCCGAGCAGGGCATCGAGGTCTCGTTGCAAAGCCTCCGACTCTGAAGCCTGGCCGACACTTCTGTACAGCTTCGTGTCGTCTGCGAATAACTTTAGCCCTGACGAGACACAAGCGGGCAGGTCATTGACAAAGACCAGGAACAGCAACGGGCCCAGGACCGTTCCCTGTGGTACGCCACTGGTGACAGGAACCCAGTCTGACTTTGCCCCATTTATCGACACACGCTGCTGTCGGTCAGTCAAGAAGGCCCTTATCCATTCGAGCAGCCGACCCCTAATGCCGCAGGATTGGAGCTTCAATAACAGGCGCTGGTGAGGCACAGAATTAAACGCCTTACTAAAGTCCAGGTACAGGGCATCCACAGGGTCACCTTCCTCCAGTGCACGGGTCCAGTCTTCGACAGTTTCGAGAAGCTGAGTGGAGCACGACCTCTTCTGTCTGAAGCCATGTTGCAGGTTGCTCAGCTGTTCCGTCTCGATCAAGTAGGACATCATCTGGTCACGGACCAATGACTCGAGGACCTTGCATGGGACGGCTGTCAGCGTCACTGGTCGGTAGTTTGCAGGGCTGTCCTTCACTCCCTTCTTGAAGATAGGGATGATCTCATCGTTGCGCCAGTCACTTGGTAAGGAGGAGTTGTCCAGAGAAGAACGAAAGAGACGCGCCCATGGCTCTGCCATAACCAAGGCCGTTTCCCGAAGGATGCGCGGGTGGAGTCCGTCTGGTCCCGGTGAGCTGTCTATCTTGAGTTTCAGCAACTTCTCCCTGACCGCGCCAGTGCTGATGTCAATGTTGTCCAGCAGGGGGCCAGGGTAAACAGGTGGTGGTGCTGGCAGGACGGGGTCCTCGACCGTAAATACACTCTGGAAGAAGTGATTGAGCAAGTTGGCTTTGTCGCGGTCCTCCCGAACCATCGTCCCGTCTTCAGCCTTCAAGTCCTCCACTCTTGTCTTGGTCCGCAGTCGAGTGCCTGCATAACGCCAGAAACCTTTGGCGTTCGTACGCAGATTCCTCACCAGATGTCTCTCGAAGTTCGCACGAAGACTCCGAGTGAGTGACCGAAGCTTGTTGCGTGCACGGCAGAAGCGGGCATAATCAAGCATATCTCTGGTTCGCATGTACTGTAACCACAGTGTCCGTTTTTGCTTCTTTAGCCGAATGGCTTCGTGGTTGATGTAGATATTCTTATTATTTTGTTTGGACTTGGCAAGGGGTATACAAGTGGTCAAGTGCTCGGACAGTTTGGCCTTGATAAAAAGGTACATAGCATGTGTGTCCTGTGAAGTACTTGTTGGCCACTCTACATCAGACATGAGTTGGTTTAAGAGTGTGTAGTTGCCCTTGCTGAGATTGAGGTGTGGCTCCAATGGCTCAGTGGGAGGACAGTAGCATTCCACTTGGAACTGAAGCATGATATGGTCACTTGTTCCAGGCAAGTATTCCAGGTTCTTAACCATGGCCTCTTCAGAAGACAATATTAGATCAAGGGTATGAGGTGTTTCGCCAAGTCTAAATCTGGTAGGTCTGTCAACATGCTGGTACAGAAATGAGTCGTTCAACAGGTCAACAAACCCATGTGAACAGTGTGAGGGAGGTGCTGAAGAAAGACCCACTTGCCAGTTGATTTGCGGCAGATTGAAATCACCTCCAATAACCACATGTGTGTATCTAGAGTTGGTAGCCTGCTTGAATAGAGATCCAATCTTGTTAAGATCTTCTTCGGCAGAACCAGACGGGCTTCGATAAATACAGCCAAGTAGAAGGACATCAGAGCTAGCCAGCGGCATCTCTATCCAAAGCTGCTCTCTGAATGTTGAATCCTTAAAAACAACTTCAGATACCCGGAGTGATGATTTGGCATAAATGCAGACCCCTCTAATACCACTTGAGCCCAGCTTGGTTTCCGAGGGGTCGAAGTTCAGATACATGACGTAGCCAGGTACAGACAAAAGGGCTGGGGATATTGGGTGAAGTTGGGCTTTAGGTATGACTTCATTAAGTAAGATGAAGTCTGGTTCGTTTCCCGAAATGAACATGCAAAGGTCATCACGTTTCTTCACAAACTGGTCTGCATTTGCATACAGTACCTTGAGACCTTCTTCATATCTCGGTCCTGCCGGCCTGGATTGTCAGCACCTTTCCTGATCCGGGGTCTGACCCGTCTGGGCCGTCCCTGGGGTTGTCAAGGTCTGCCTCTGAGATGTAGCATGTTGCTGGGGTGCTACAGCACCTTGTGGCCTACCCCGAACAAGTTCAGCTTCCACTGTCCGAGTCAGGTCCAGTTTTCTTGTCACAAGCCGACCCTTCCTGATGGTGAGGTTCACTTCACCTGCATCTGTCCTCCTTCGTAGCTCCTCTCGGAGGCGTCTACCCTCTTCCCTCTCTTTCCAGGTAAGGTCAGGTGAAAGGTATACATTTTTCCAGAGATCTGTCGACCGTAGTTGAGGTGCCAGTTTTAGCACATCACTTTTAACCTCAGTGTTTTCAAGTCCCACTATCAACAGTCGTGGCTTCTCCTGACCCGGCTTGCCGACCCTGTATGCCTTTGTTACTCTCACATTGAGATGCATAGCATCACGGATTACCTCCTTAACCTTTTCTTTGTCTGCTTCCACTCGTTCAGCATACAACTCACTTGTTGGCTCCGGGAGGTTATGCACTACCACATTCAGCTTGCGCTTCTCTTTTTCTAAGAAGTCATCAAAGACACCTGCTATTGCCTTCTCAGTGCAGAGGCTGGTATTCTCCTTCCCTTGGGATGGAATCGCTTCAAACTTTTTGGCTGCTTTTTGCATCACCTCAGCGCTGCCCTTGATGACCTCTGCGTAGGACGCCCTATCATCCTGGATTTTCTTGAAGGAGTGCTGTAACAGTGTCTCCTGATCCCCGATGAGTTTGGCATGAGCACGCATGACCTTCTCCACCTTTTCCATTCGTTCATTTACATGATCTTTCAGCTGCTTGACACCACTCTGTGTCTCACAGTGCTCGTTGTGACTGTTGGCATCAATCTTTGCAAATGCTGTTTGCATGAAATCAATCAATGCATCGAGCTTTGACTCCAGCTTAGAAAGCCTGTTGTCCTCATCACTCTTGCCCTTAGTTTTGAGGGCTTGTTTACAGGCAGAACAATGCCAAGATAACACCTTGTGCTTCACAAGGGCATTGTAGCACTGCTTTGAAATGCCTTGACACTTAGAATGGAACCAGCGATCACACGTGCAGCACTGTACACCCATTTCCCCATCCTTCACATCAGTGTCACAGATTGGGTTGCTCGGACCACCCTTGCATGAGTTTCTGTCAAAGTTTGTTACATCCGGATCAGGGCTCGTGTTTGAAGACCTTGAGCCCCACAGTTTATAGGCGTCACTACTGAGCCTCCTAATTTTGGGAGCCTCATCCTCTGTGGAATCTGTTGCAAGTGAGCTCAGTTGGGGGGCTCGTGCGACAGCACCAGCCACTTCTTTTATTTTATCTGTCTGGTTTTCCTTGGAGCCTAGCTCAAATATTCCACACGGTTCAGAAATAGCACAGTTCCCTGCCTTACCTCCTTTAGCTCCTTCGGCAACAAAATCATTCACCTCGTTGCCGCCTCCAGATTCGCCGCCGCCGGCCTCCGCATTTGCATCCGACGGCGTCGATGGCGTCGCTGTAGATCCATTTGCGATCGTCGAATTGAGTGCATTTTCAGTTGCGGTCCGCTGTGGTTTCGACATTGGAGGTGACCTCTGGACTGGCATCTTCGCTCATGAAGATACGCCGAGACAGTTGAAATTGTGCCGTGGGTACCTAACTAATGTGTGCACTGATTGGGTCCTGTGAGAGTGAGAGCTCGATTTGACACGTCCGATCTCCGTGAAAGCGCGAGCCGAAGTCACATCCCGGATCAGAGTGTTATATGTCTCATCATTAGGTCATGGATGAAGCAGTGCATTGTATTAATCCATGTATTAAGTACCTATTAATCCATGATCTTATTGAAGATCATGGATAAGAAATGCCTAATCCATGAATCATGATCATGTTGATGTGTAATGGATGGCAAGATCAAGATGCACCTCAATCTAAGCAGCATAGAAATAAAAAGATGAATGCTATTATAATAGCATTCATAGGTACAACAACAAAACAAAGGTACAACAAAGGTATGTATACATACCTTTGTTGCCGAATACTCCTGTGGTGTAAATGGATCAAATTTGGTTCAAATACAGCTCTCAGTACCTTGACCTAGCCATATATCTTGCAGCATTTGGCTGGAAAATATTTGTAAGAATCTTGGGTAAATAAACAAAAGTTTGGCCAAGGTCGTTTATTGATTTGATGCTTCAAAATTGTCTAAAAAGTACCCTGATTATTTGACGTCACAAATGTAACATTTTTATACAATGAAAACAAAACTTTGAACGAGCTTGCAAGCATAGCCTTGGAACTTGGTATTAGCTAATTCATGAAAAGCGATTTTCTTTTATCATAAAACAAAGAAATACAAATTCGTGCCCCTTTAGAATTATCTTTTCATTTGCTCAAAATGATTTTCACAATTCAGTGACGTCATTGCGTATGAGCAACGTGGCGCAGGGGACGGATATTTTTCGCCACCATATGAATATGGTATCCGCCATATGGTTTATATCAGGGCAGGCCCATGTCACTCCACTTTTGATGACATCATGTGGGGGCCCCAGGACAATAATGTCGCGGCGCGCCACAATCGCTTCAAAGCTACTTGCCATCTACTTGCCAACAGTTGCCATTTTTGAAAATATTATTTTGAAATTAAGTTCCAAGTAATAAAAATATTGTAATAAAGTTGTTGAATAAATCGATACCATATCTAAAAACTTACTAAAATATGATTTATTAATGGTAAAAATATAAGCTCGATGCGTTTTTATGTTGCTTTCCTGCAACTGCAGAGGGTTTTTAAATCGTCTTTATCTTCAAAACCGGCCATTTCTTAACATATTGCTGCTCTTTTTTATCGCTAGAAAATTAGTTAGACTTTCCAATGACATCAATGGTTGAGCGATATGTGTAGAGTGTCACCAACAATCTTCAAATTAAGTTAGTCATTTTTACGTTGTAAAGGAATGGAGTACCCCTTTCGAGCATCAGGGGTGACGTCACTCAGGATCTGTCTCTGATTGGTCGGCGGGGGAGTGACTGTACCTTCTATAGATTAGATGGCCTTGTATCAGGGTATATTGAGTGAAGGTTTATATCAATATAGCGTTGATGGGTATCTATATGGCCTTGGGTTTATAGAAGAGATAGGTAGAGGGTAATATTCAATTGGTATATTTCTATTTGGTAGTTCACTGCAAGGCCCTATATTGATATATTCTTCACTGGTAAGTAGCTAACCCATCCTATGAGCCCAAATCAGTAACAGTTACCATTACGGGTTGAGGAATGAGGTGTCAGTTTCCAGCACCTTATCTTTTTTTCCTGTGTGAACTGTTTTGCCATCCTGATACAAATTGCATTGATTTTTTGTGCAAGCCTGCGACTGTAGCTCAGATAGTAGAGCATTGGACTTCCGCTACAAGGGCCCCGTTTCACCGCACAGTGCTACAGCATGCTGTGTAGCAGTGGCGCAGCCAGGGGGGGGGGTGAAAGGGGTGAGATCTCACCCCCGTCTCTCATCCTAGGGGCCCACCGTCGATTCGAACTGTAACGTTATGCAGCCTGACAATTTTCTATCATAACGTCAAGGTCCGTCATAGAACTGAAAAACAGTTTGCAGGCCTGTATAGCCCCCCCCCCCTTAGCATTTATAGTCTCATTTTATGATTTAAGAGGGTACATCCAAGACCCGATTGATCTAATCCAAGGCCTAGGAGGGCCCGTTCCATGGCATGAGAGGGCCATTTCAGGCCTGAGAGGGCCCGTTTTAGGTCTGCGAGGGCCCATTTCAGGCTTGAGAGTGCCCATTTGATGCCTGTGAGGGCCCATTTCAGGCCCTAGAGGGCATGTTTGAGGCCTGATAGGGCCCATTTCAGGCCTGAGAGGGGCCCATTTCAGTTTCGTTTCGTTTATTTAGGGCTTGTCCACAAGTGGCTATTACGGCCCAGTCAATACATGATAGGTACACACACCCACACACACACATATACATACATACAATATACACGTCAATATAAAGCAACACCCGCAAAAGCATACATAAAATATCTAAAATCAGTCATGTCACTTGTCAGTCTCTATCTAAAGTGCTGCACCAGCTGTCTCCTGGAACCAGTCGCCTTCACCTCCGGCGGCAGGCCGTTCCATGCAGCGGCGGCTCTATACGAAAACAGCCGCCTGGTCGCCGCCAGTCGAACCCGCGGCAGGTCGAGCACAGCTGCGCCCGCAGCCGTGGCCCGGGTGACTCTATTGGAGACGGCGGCACGCGGGCGAAACATGGACCGCAGCGAGTCGGGGGCGCCGGCGGCGTACAAGGCGCGTTGCACGTTCACCGCGTCACGGCGTGCGATGACCTCACCAATGCCGGGCCAGCCGAGCGCGCCGAGGGCGGGGGTGATGTGGTCGAATTTGCGGAGACCAGAGACGAGCCGTACAGCGAGATGGATGGTCCTCTGCAGCCGGTGCAGGCGGGATTTGGAGGCACCACCCCAGACTGACGAGCAGTACTGGAGGTGGGGGAAAACGTGGGTTTGAACGAGGATTTTAAGGATGTCAGGGGAGAGGTGATGGCGAATTTTGAACAGTGATATAAGGATTCCATTTGACCGCCGAACGATAGAGGATATATGTGGCTCCCAGCTCAGGGTTTGGTCGAGGAGAACACCCAGCACCTTGATGTGTTTTGTTGGCCGAATAGTTGCATCATCTACGTTAAGAGTGAAGTTTTTGACTTTATCAACTGAATTTTGAGTGCCAAGAAGAGTGAAGCAGGTCTTCTCTCCATTCATTTTTAAACTGTTTAAGCTAAACCAGCGTTGAAGTTGCTGAATGTTCTCCTCGGCCCGGGACTTCAGCACTTGGATGCCAGTGGGATTGGAGGGTGCTGAGTCCAGGATTTGGGTGTCATCCGCGTAGGATATGAGTCGGCCATGGGGGAGGAAGCAGGTAAGGTCGTTGACGAAGATGAGGAAGAGGATGGGACCCACGATGGACCCCTGGGGAACACCGTGGGAGAGTGGGAGGGCCGTTGAGGAGCGGATGAGTTGGGAACGGCCAGAGAGGTAGCTGCTGAACCAGCGGGATGAGATGCCATACCACTCGAGCTTGTTCAGAAGCATCGAGTGGTCGACACTGTCGAATGCCTTGCTCAGGTCGACTGACGTCACCGCGGCAACGTCACCACCGTCGACCCTGCGAGCCGCCCATTCGACAATGTCGAGTATGGCATCTTCAGTGGAGTGGGATGGGCGGTAGGCATACTGGGATGGGGAGAGGATGTGGTTAGTGATGAGGTAGGAGGTGAGCTGAGAGCATACAACCTTTTCAAGGATTTTGGAGAGAGATGGGAGGATGGATATGGGGCGGTAGTTGCCAGGCTGGTTGGGGTCACCGGATTTGTGGATTGGTGTGACGATGGCAACTTTCCATGCGTCAGGGAAGGTAAGGGTGGATATGGATGAGTTGATTAGGTGAAGGATGGGCGGACCGACTGCAGGGAGACAGCTTCTGATCGCAGCGATCGGAATGCCATCAACCCCAACAGCCCTCGACGCACTTAGCCGGCTGATGGTCAGAATCAGGTCTGGCAGCGTTATGCATTGAGGGGCGAAGGCGCTCGCACATACCCTGGGAGGCCGCGGGCCGGCAGCGGGGGTCTCGGTCCCCTGCGCGGCCCGCGCGGCCTCAGCTGCCACACGAGCGCCGACACCGGCAAAATACTCGTTGAGCTGGTCGGCGCTCAGCACATCACGGTCTGGTGACTGTGCGCCTGCAGAGCCTCTCGCAGATAGGTTAGCACCAAATCGCTTAAGTCTATTCCAAAAATGTTTCGCATCACAGTGTAAAGACTCTGTTAAGTAGGACCTGCGCGCACGAGACAGAACTAGCTTCGCTCGGTTCCAGAGCCGCCTATAAACGTCATGATTTCAGGCCTGAGAGGGGCCATTTCAGGCCTGAGGGGGCCCATTTCAAGCTTGAGAGGGCCCATTTCATGCCCTAGAGGTCATGTTTGGGGCTAGAGAGGGCCCGTTTGAGGCCAGAGAGGGCCCGTTTGAGGGCTGAGAGGGGCCCATTTCAGGCATAAGAGGCACCATTTCAGACCTGAGAGGGCCCAGTTACGGTATGAGGGGGCGCTTTTCGACATGATAGGGACCATTTCCGGGCTGAGGGGGCCCATTTTAGGTCTGAGAGGGCCAATTTCAGGTCTGAGAGGGCTAATGTCAGGCCTGAGAGGGCCCATTTCAGGCCCTAGAGGGCCTATTTGAGGCCTGAGAGTCTACTTCCGGCCTGAGAAGGGCCCATTTCAGGTCTGAGAGGGCCCAGTTCAGGCCTGAGAAGACATTCCAGGAATGAAAGGATCATCTTATGTGTGGGAGGGTCCGTACTCCGTGCCTGGTCTGGGTCTGAGAGGGGCTACCGCAATCCTGATTGAGCTGATATCATGTTTGATATAGGTCAACTCACCACATGTATATTGATGGCCCAGTTCATGTCTAATGGGCCCATCTCAAGACTCAGAGATTTTATGCTTCAGGAAGCTAGTAACCCAAGCGTGAGGGGGCCCATAGAGGTTTTTGAGGCTCATGGAGGTCAGAACCGGCGGAACACCTTCAATTAAGGGGGGGGGGCACTGCCGACTTTTGGTCCCATTCTTTCCATGCAACGCCCATAGGGCTAATGTTAAAATGCCAAAATCAAAGGGGGGCACGGTGCCCTCCCCGTTCCGCCGCCTATGATGGAGGTCCCGCAGTACGATATGTCAGCCTCTGAGAAAGCCATGCAGGGCCCTGCCAAGCCGACATCTGAACTCAGGCCTGTGCCTGCCTCACCGCCCGGCCCCACCCCGACGTCTAGGGGTTTGACGCCTAGGTATTTATCAGGACCCCACACCGGTCCATGATGGCTCCAAACTGACACCTGAGGCTCCTGCACCGGCTTTTGAGATGCCCACCGACCTCTGATACCACCACGCAGGCCTCAAAAGACCATGTCGATTGTCGATATCTAAACCCCGAAGTCTTGGAAGGCCTGTGCTCTATGCAGGTTCTTGAGGGCTTGAGGGCTTGAGGGCTTTACTTGTGGGCTTGTAAATATAATATCCCAAACTGGCTCTAGCCTAGCTCGACCGCGCCCCGCAGAGCAGGGCCCCAGGCCTTCCAGTTTTACGCCCCTGAGGGGTATTTGAATATTCCCTTCTAACCTGACTCCAGGGTCACGTAGCGACAAGTGCGGCGGTAGGCGGCTTTCTAAAGAGCGTCGAAAATCATGGAGAAATTACTTCAGTCATATTGCAGTTCAGGCCAAAGCACACGTCATCACGTTCATCGAAAGAAAAGTTTCGCCTATTTCGACACTCGAGGACATAAAAAGCTATAGCGCGCTGAAAGTGGGTTCGATAGCTCTCTAACTCGTGCAATCAGCCATGGGGGGGGG